CCTGCCCTCCACCCCTGGCCTGCCCTCCTCCCCAGCCTGCCCTCCACCCCCGGCCTGCACCTTGGTCTCAGCCGAGCAGTCTCCTCCGCAGAGAAGCCTTTCCCTACAAACCCCTCTAACCCTGTTCTCCCCACGCTGCCTGGCACCCACGTTCCTGCCCCACCTCACCCTGTTCCACATCCTCAGACCCGTCACTCGATGGTGGCTTAGTTGTCTGCATTGTCACCTTCTCTCTCCGATTAAACCCGGGAAGGCCCAGCCACTTCTCCATCCCTCAAGGAGGTGATGCCTCATGGGCTCTGGCACCGTGCGGGCACTGGATGAGTTTTAAGTGCCGTCCTCGCCCTGCCTTGATCTTCCCTTTTTGCTTTTACTCTTTTTGCTTTTCCCTTCCGACTTTCTGTTGCAGTGAGAAGCCCCCCGCCCCCCCCCAGGATGCACTCGGGGTTGAGGAGGCGGCTCAGCCAGGCCCTCCCGGCCCGTCTGTGCCAGGGCCGTGGGGGAGAAAGGACAGCTTCTGCTGGTGTCTTCCTGGGAAACGTGGGGACTCACCTGGGTGCCAGGGGCCGCCCGAAGGAAACTCGCCGCAGTGCCTTTCTGGACCCGGCACCGAAGCCGCCCTGGGTGCTGCTGGCGAGGCTCCTTCTCACTCACGGCGGGGAGCGGGGGAGAGCGGGCGCCTCGGAGGTGGGCGGGTGCTAAGGGGTTTCTCTACTTCTGCCTGGGGCTGAGGTTAGAGAAATTGGGGCTCGGATCCCAGGGAGGAAGGACCCTGCTCAGGGCTCTTCTGTTTGTGGGAGGTGAGCAGACTGTGGGTGTGTGTAGGGTCCCTCAGGAGAGAGGTGACCCGTCCGGGACACCCTGGGAGAAAGAGGCCTTAGCTCTTTTATCCTGCTCTCTGACTGTGGGCGGCGGGTGTCATTTGGCCCACCCTGGTCTCCGCTGCGGTGGCCACGGTCCTTGGCGCGGTGCCTTGGGCCTCCAGGTACGCTCTGGGCTGGCGGGGAGCTGAGGGACTTGGGCTCTCGACCCGTGTCCGGGAACCTGCCTTGGCCTCAGGTTTGTCCGTCCTTCCAGGACCTCCTTCCTACAGGGGCCACATGCCATGGTTTATACACAAACATGATTTGCCCGATTGTGGCAGTCCGGGCCTAGAACAATTTTAATTAACGGGAAAATGGTCCTCAATACGCTGATTAGACCTCTTCAGGTACAACAAGATAAAAGCCTGATAATTTGGATGGAGTACTCTTCTTAAATGGTTACTCTATGCTCAGCAGCCAATGGCAGAGCCGGGCTCTCCCCCACCTGATCCAATGAGTAATTAAGAGAGGGCTTTTTCTTCCCCCTCTCCCCTCCCCCCTTAACTAAAGCTTAACAGGTTGGTGTATAATTTGGAGACTTTCAGGGGTGTCATGCTAGGAGCTTAGGCAAGAGCCAGCATCTTCTCTCCAGCTCCCCGGGCACCGTCCTCTCACAGGCGAGTGAGAGGAGGAGGTGGGAGCGGGCGAGGTAGGGAGCGTCTCCCAGCCAAACGCCTCTCTCTTTGAGAGGGGCCCGTGGCCATGAGTGAGCTGGGCACGCAGAAGACTGGCGATGGCACCGTTTCTCGCCTGCTCAACGTGGTGGAGAGTGAGCTCCAGGCGGGGAGGGAGAAAGGCGACCCCACGGAGAAGCAGCTTCGGATCGTCCTGGAGGACGCCCCTCTTTGGCAGAGGTTCAAGGAAGTCACTAATGAGATGATCGTGACCAAGAATGGCAGGTGACTTTCTCTGTGGCCCTGCCTGGGCCGGCTGGGCTTGGCGAGGGAGGTGAGACCCCGTAAATATGGAGGAGGCTGCCGTGGGGTCTGATTAAACACGCGAGAGCAGTCTCCCACGCTACTCTGGCCAACTTAATTTTCTCTGAGACCATCCGAGAGGCGGAGGGCGAGGCCACCTGCCTTGCATGCATTTTCAGTGGGGAAATTACTCTACAGGGGGGCATGTCCCATGGCTTTGGGAAATGTGCTCACATGTCAGAAAATGATGGCAGGTTTTGACTGACGGTGTATCCTGGAGCAGACCTGAGCCCCAACTTTTTCAGATAAGGGGAAAGGCAGCTTTATTTGGAAGCTGGGTGGTTTTCGCTTAAATATAACAAACTTGCCAGAGATTTCTGACTAGTTGAAATTGGGAGCAAAAGGACAAATTTAATCTTTGCCTCTCAGGGCATCTGCTCTGGTGTGTGTTTGCCGTGCGTGTTCGGTTGAGGTTGTGCGTGTGTGTGTGAGAGAGAGACCGAGAGCCGCTGTGGTCCCAGGTANGGTGCGTGTTCGGTTGAGGTTGTGCGTGTGTGTGCGTGTGTGTGTGAGAGAGAGACCGAGAGCCGCTGTGGTCCCAGGTAATGAAACTGACACGTACTGCCTGAGAAAGGGGAAGATTTCTTTTTTCTCATTGCAACAAATTAGGGATTAACTGAACCTGATCTCTGTTGGCATTTCTCAGATTCTATTAAATCTTGTTCGCTAAGGGGCTGGCCAGGTAATTTTAGAAGCTTTCACTTAGTAGAAAAGACACAAATATTTTGAAAGATAATTTCACTGCTCCCTGCTTGGCCAGACCAGCTCCCAACATTCAGCCGATACACACTCATCTTGTGGTTCACGTGGGAAGGTGTTTTCAGTGGGGTTGGCCTGGGCAGGACTAACAGTGACCCGAGAGAGAACGTCTGCTCTCCAGCAGAGAAGAGTCAGGACTCGGTGACCCTCTGGAAGGCGTTCGCCTCGTGCAGAATGCCTCCACTCCTGAGGCCTCACTTTCCCATTTTTGAATAAAATGCCCAGAGTAGAAAGTGAACCATTCCTGTGGATCCGGGAGAACTGTGAACCAAGTGCGGTTACATGACATTGAGGTGCTTCGTATGTGACAGGTGTGCCAGAAACCAGGGTGTTGCTACACACTGTGATTATTATATTTCTGAACCGGCACCCTCCTTATTTCATACATAGGATGTATTTCTTTTAATATCTGTAGCTGTTCCTACTCTTGATCGGTAGCTACACATTGTTTTTGGTAGAAAGAGATATGAAACATGTTTATTTGTTTTTTAATCCTCACCTAAGGATATGTTTTTAGAAAGAGAAAGGGAGGAACCGAGGGAGGGAGAGAGGGAAAGAGAGAAACATCAACGTGAGAGAAGCATCGAGCCTGCAGCCCAGGCGTGTGCCCTGACTGGGAATCCAACCCTCAGCCTCTTGGTGCACTGATGACGCTCCAGCCAACTGAGCGCCCGGCCAGGGCTGGATTCGCTTTCTTTTCAGAGATGAGTGGTGGTACAGCTGTAAAAATTTTATGATATCTGATAATAGGGAGGAATTTCTGTTTATTATTCTTTGTACTTGGTAGGAGTTACACTAATACTTAACCTCACACTATCTCTTTGGCTGTTGGAGCAGTCATTTATAAACAAAATAAATACAATCACCAAGTAAAAATATATTTCATCTCTTTCCGTAAGGAATAAAAGTTTCTGATACCATTATAAAATTCAATTTAATAATATGTCACATCGACATGTGCTTTCTCTTGCCCTTTTTTACCTATAAAATTTTTCTCTCCATATTTAAAATTTAAAATTCTTCACAGGGTTGAAGTCATCTACTATTAACTATTCCTTGTGGTCACCTTGGTTTTCTGATTCTCTGTGGAGGTGGAGGCCCTGCTGCTGTTTTCTCTCCTCCAGTGAACTGGATCTTTCCTTAGATGCACTTTAGGTTTCTGCCCCTTGGGCCACGGTTTTGCCGGGAGGGAGATGCCCCCTCCCTTCTCCAGGTGACGATGGAGGACGTGTCTCCAGGAGATGACGCGGCTGGTTAATGAGCGAGCTTGGTCTGCAATGGCTCAGTCTCAGTTCATGACTGAATTGTTGGCAACGCGTTACTGTGCCTGCTTTAGACACACCTTTCTTATTTCATCGTCTCTTTTACTACCTTCTTCTGTGTCCCGATTTCCTCCTAACCACCTACTTCAGCGTCTCCTTTTTACCCATTTCCTCGGACTATAGCCCCACTGTATCCCCTCCAAATACCCCCTCCCTGTCTTCCAAGCCACCTCCTGAGCCCCGGGGTGGTGGACTTGCAGCCCTTCCCTGTGGAGAATATTCCTGGCATTTCACACCCAGCCTGGGCCTTTGACCCCTGTAGGCAGTGGACCTGCTGACTTTTCTAAAAGCCGCAGTCCGTTCGTCAGCCCCTGTGCACTTGGCGTCACTGTCCTGAGTAGTAAGAGCAGGCCTGGAAATAGCACAGGCCAGCCGACCAGAGAAGGAAAAGGCTCGTTTGCCAGTGGAGAGCTGTTTCTACTCATAAATTGTAGGCTCACCCCGATATTGATCAGAAATAGTAAAGAGAGAGGACTTTCTCCCCAAAACACTGAATTATCCCCGGAACCTGGGATCCTGCTGCCCTCCCTCCCCGCCTTGCTTCCTGCCTTCTTTTTATTGAAAACTTTTAGTGATTCGTCATCAGTCTTTCAGAGATAACATGACAATTACACTACCTCCCAGGGCTCATGTGAATCATCGCTGGCTTTCAGCATTTCCCCTGCATCCCTTAAGCTCGGAACTTCTATTTTGGGGTGCAGAAAAGACTTACTTCAGGCTGCAGAGGCAAAGAAATGAAATCCCTGGTTCCTCTTGTGTTCATGACTGTAACATCCTTAGGGGAAAACGCTACATTTCATGTGTATTTCCATCAAACTAAATAATTCTGACTTAATTCTGACTAAAGTTGCCTTGGGGCAGGTACGTCCATTTGCTATCATAAAGTAAGTATTGGGGTACCTACTTTGAACTTGCCAGTGATCGTGACAGGCTGTCAGTGCAGTGAGCCCAGTGCAAGAGTGGAGAAAATTCAGGTTGCACACCAGGCAGATAAACGTCCAAGTGTCCATACCCCACAGACATTCTCCTCTCAAGTTAACCATTGGGATGTATGAGGAGCACATGTATTGGTGTAGTCTGCCCTAGTGCTTGGGTGCACACACACACACACACACACACACACGCACATACATGCATATGCTCACACACGCACACACACACATGCACACTCACACGCTCACACTCACACTCCCAGAGCTCTGATGACTGTTCTACAGACATCATAGTTCTGTGGGTAGATGGAGGAAGGTGTTTAGGAGCGACACCTCCTGAATCTTGCCTTTACCCACCTCTGCTGCTCCCCCACCCACAACATCTGCCTTATCTCTGCCCCTTCCTTCCAGCAAACCTTACTCCTCACAGCATCCTTTGGCCCTGCTGCCTCCAAGGTCCCCTGTTAGGGAAATAAAATGAAAACCTTACAGCAAAGCAACAGAGGAACCAGCCGCGGTTCCTCAAACGTGGTTTGGGGAGGACTTACTCACCTGCCCCACCGCCTCTCCCTCTCCTTCTCCATCTTCCCCTCTCTCTTACTTGCGACTGACTGATCTACATATTTCTCAGCTCCCCAAAGATTCTTGGGTATCTCTGTGGTTAGTTGCACTTTGGAAAGAAAAGCGGAGGGCGGGGATCAACTTGATGAGCAGAGCAATTCATCCTCGAAAACAAGCCGGTCACGGGCGCTGCCTGCAGGTGAGCACGTCGTGTGTCCTGGCCCTCCTGAGGCCGGGGGAGACTTTTGGCAAGTTGGCTGACCTACATTGACTCCTCATTGGCATATGGAGATTAAAAAACATAGCATCCCTTTGTCCATTTGTTTGTTGATAAAAAAATAATTATCAAATTGTTGGCAAATGAAGGACTAATGAGAATAAAGCAATAAGCCATTTCACAACCACTCAGATGTGTCCTTCTAAGTGCCAGGACACTGTGGCTGCTTTACTTTTTTTGTTAATAGCTTTATCGTGATGGTTCCCATTCCTTACAATTCACCTATTTAAAGTGCACAAGTCAATGGCTTTTGGTATTTTCAAAGAACTGTGCAAATGGTCCCATAAGTAATTTTAGAAGGTTTTCGTTGTCCTTGAAGAAGCCCTGCGTCTTTCGCCATCTCCCCGTCGTGCCCTCCCCGGGCCCCGCAATCTCTCATCCATTTCCTCTCCCCGTAGGTTTGCCCACTTGGGCACTGCATGCTCATGGGGTCATACAGTGTGTGGCCCTTTGCGTCTGGCTTCTTTCACGTGGCACCATGCCCTCCAGGTTCCTCCGTGTTGTGGCATCTTTCCTGCCACCTGATACTCCGTGGTCACGTCCCCCATGCCCGTCCGTGCACAGCTGGCGGGCGTGCGTGTTGCCTGCCCTGTATGAATGACCCGCTGTGAGCACTTGTGCTTTTGTGTGGATGCGTGTTTTTCCTTCCCTTGCGTGTGCCCCCCGGAATGGAATTGCGGGGCCATGTGGCAGTTGGGCATTTAACTGGTTGAGCAGCTGCCAGGCTGTTTTCCTGAGTGGGGACCCTTTCCATTCCCACCTGCAGCATACGAGGGCTCCGCGTCTCCTCCACCCCAACGCTTGTCACTGTCCCTCCTGGGGAGTGGGAAACGGTGCTCACTGGTTTCGTTTCCCTGCTGGCCGGTGGCGCTGAGACTTCCCACGGGGTCGCAGTTTCCTTGGAACAGCAGGTAACACTCTGGACGGAGCGTGAAAAGCAAAGCCAGCGGCCGTCCCTGTGAGGCTCAGCGCGACACAGTCGAGAGGGGGAGGGCACTCGGTCCTGTTAGCAGCGGAAGTGAAAGCTGAATTTCTTCTTGATTTGCCTGAGCCACGCTGGCCTTTTCCTTCCTCAATAGTCCGGGCTTGTTTGGGCCCAAGGCCCACTGCACTGCAATTCTTTTGCGTGCAGGTGTGTTGACATCACTCATTTCTGGCATTCCCACTTCTTATTTGGGTCTCAGCTTAAATGTTATCGCAAACCGCTAGGGTCCATCTAGAGTAGCTCCTCCGCCTTTAATCTCCCTACTGACATCACCCACTTTAGTTCCTTCGTGGCCTCTGGCATTTTCGTGGCCTGACTTCTCCTCTCAAATGTGGGCTTCATGAACAAGACACATGGCCTGCGATGGTTTGCCACTGAATTCCCACCTACAGCGGTTCCTGGCATAGAGCAGCCCCTTCAAGCCGTTTGTTAAATGAGTAACTAAATCTCTAATAAGGTATTCAAATTTAGGGAGACATTTCGGGGACTTCCTCTCCCCTGTAGCCTGTCCATATTTACTTACTAGCAGAATCAGAAGGGAGAGAGAGAGAAGGCATAGTGAGTGAGGTAGGAGAAGGCAGGGAGGCTGGGCCAAGGGGAAAGCATCCTATCAATGTCTGGCAAGCTCAGGGAGCCCATGTGACTTGCACCCTGGAGCCTGGAACTGGATGCCTGAGTCCTCTAGATCCATCCCTGTCATCTGCCAGTCAGTTCCTTCCTTTCCCATGTGTAACGATACCCATTCTACCTTGTCTCAGAGCTGGGCACCACTGTACAAAGTAGGATATGCTTGGTGACCCTCCAGTCCTCACCTGTGCCCATTCCTGGCCTTTGGGCCCTTCTCGTAGTAGTGAGCCCACCCCGGTTTCCCTTTCATTCTCCCTCAGCCCATCAGAAGCACCAGTCCTTAGACTCCTGTGCATATCTCCTAAGTTATTGTCTAAAACACTGCGGATCCTCTAGACCAATCTCTGAGGTTTTAATGTTCCAATGGATTTTGGAAAAGCAGATTCCGGTTGAGTAGGTCTAGAGTGAGGTCTGAGGGTCTGCATTTCTGTAACTTCCAGCTACACTGATGTACTGGTTCATGGACCACTTTGAGCAGCAAATGTCTAGACTCTTGATGCTTACCTTCTGGATTTGGGGATGCAGATTTTCAAAGCAGTACTGACAAATAAGATAGCATCTGGGCAGTCAGGTAGCGTGGGGATGTGTCTGGAAACCAGGTCTTTAGAGGACATTTTGGAGCAACTTCCAATGTTCGGTGAAAGAACAATAAACCAAAGGGAGTCAGGAGCCAAGTGGTGAGGAGGCTGCTCCTGATATTCCTGAGAGCAGACTTGCTGTGTGACCTAGAGGGCGGAGGAAGGACCCGTGAAGGCAGATCAGCGTGTCTCCAGGTACATCCCCTGAGCTCAGACTCCCTCAAGGTGCTCATGCAAAGATGGCTTCACTGTCCTTTGAGTTCAGAGTGTGTACCATCCCGTGCCTCCTTCTCAAAGGTTTGTGGTGCGCATTAGTAGTGTAAAGCCTCTGAGAAGTCCCGCAGGAAAGGAACTGGTCTAACTTCGTATAACCAGGAGTTCCCCTCACTTACTTTACAGTGAAACTACATTTATCTACTAGTGCTCTTACTGTTAGACAGAGCTCTCTTGTGAGGCTGGGAAGGACGGCTTTGTGGCGTGAGTGTGAGAATCCCACTTGTGCCAGGAGAAGACTTGGAAAAGCTCTCTGTGTGAACATTCACCTTGGGCTTCAGGTTCCTCTGTCAAATGGCTAGATCAGTGGTTTTCAGACTTTTACACTCAGCACAACAGTTTAGAGTAAAACCCCAAGATGAATGCATTTGTGGAAAGAGGCTCTTTTGGGACTGGGACTGCCGGCTTGGCGGGTCCTCTAGACCAAACTCTGAGGTTTTAATGTTCCAATGGATTTTGGAAAAGCAGATTCTGATTGAGTACGTCTAGAGTGAGGTCTGAGGGCCTGCATTTCTGTAAACTTCTAGCTACACTGATGTATTTGGCCTCTCCCCAGGCATTCTCCGTGGGAAATCTTGGCATATTCTGATGGCTGGAAAAGCAGGGCGGTGTCCCTAACACTCTAACTTCCCTCCTGTGGCTCAATTTCTGCATTTTCTTTTAGACGGATGTTCCCTGTTCTAAAGATTAGTGTCACAGGGCTGGACCCCAATGCCATGTACTCCCTCCTGCTGGACTTTGTCCCCACGGACAGTCACCGCTGGAAGTACGTCAACGGGGAATGGGTGCCCGCGGGCAAGCCAGAGGTCTCCAGCCACAGCTGCGTCTACATCCACCCGGACTCGCCCAACTTCGGGGCCCACTGGATGAAAGCGCCCATCTCCTTCAGCAAAGTCAAGCTCACCAACAAGCTCAATGGAGGTGGGCAGGTAGGTCTCCGGTGGCCTGGCTAAGGCCCCGCAAACCAATCAAGAAAAAACCAGGGTGCATTTAGTCAATTAGAGAGGTCCCCACTGGCCTCTTCTCCCACAGAAGCCAATTACTCCCCGGAGTCCGAATGTAAACAGGAATAAACAGCTCTTAATTGGTGCTTTCAGTTTTTAATGGACTTCCTGCTGTGAAGAGAGCCGACTTAACCAGGGCCCTCTCCCGTTCGCCTCGCTGAGCTGGGAGGGAGAGGCTGGCGGTGCGTTTTGTTACTCGTTCGCCCTTTTTTGGTGAGAGTGGCGTGTTGGCAATGGACAGATGCCTTAATAGAGAGCTGTTCCTAATGAAATAATTGTACCTCCACTTGGGCATTAGGATAATTATCAGTAGAATATGGAATCAGCTTTGGGTTTGCAGAAAAAACCCAAACAAACCTCCACTAAGGAAGGGTTTACTCAGGCTCCTCAATCAGAGTAAACACGATCTGGGGGCTTTTCTCCTCTTTTGTTTTCTCCGGTGGGATTACAAATACTAGTGTTCTGTGTAGGGGTGTTGTTCGCTTTATGAAAGGTAGAATTAGGGGGAATTAGAGGAAAAGGTCTGCCCCCCTACATTTCCCTGGGTCCCCCTGCCTGCAGCCTCTGCGCCCCTTCTGACCTCCCAATGCTCACCTGCTGAGGGGCAGGCGTTCATGTCAGGAGGGGGAGGGAACCCACCCAAGTCTTTGCAGTTCCAGAAGGTTCCAGTTCTTTATTAAAACAGGAAATTGGAAAGTAAACTGTTATCGCCTCCCAGATTCCAGCGCATCTTTCAGTGGAGGCACAGAGTGGGTTTTCCGTGACCAGCAGATGTCAGACGCAGTCATTTCTCTTTGGGCAGCTCCTGTGGAATGCAGCCGAGGTCCATGTTCTAAAATGCTGATTCCTCCTGTGAAGGAAACCAGTATGTCTAGTAGGTCAAAACCCACGTCATTGTGCTGAAAATAGGGAGAGAAAAATAAGGGAGTCAGAATTTCTGGCAGAAAACTGAATATTCTTTAGAAAACTCCCTGGAAACCCACCCCCATCATTGCTCATAGAGGTGTGGTGCTGTCTCAGGTGACCGAGGATTCCCAGTGTGTGGCCCTAACTGGGTGGCGCTGAGCTTGGGACAACCACAAGGGCCAGTTGGTCCATTACCTGTGAGAGCCTGGGCTTTGCATGGCTGGTCTTCCTCTTCTTGCATCTCAACAGATAATGCTGAATTCTCTGCATAAATACGAGCCCCAGGTTCACATAGTGCGCGTGGGAGGTGCCCATCGGATGGTCATGAACTGTTCCTTCCCCGAAACCCAGTTCATAGCTGTGACTGCCTATCAGAATGAGGAGGTAAGG